CCGTTATGTCCGTCTTTGTTTAAGGCGGGTGCTCCCGCTATGCCTCGCTCTGCATTAGAAGGACGCCCGGAGGCCCGCCTAGCATCAAGTCGCCCTACGTCCGCGGCTTGAGGGCTTAGGCTTCCGATCGGTGTCCAGGCCTTCTGAGTCGAGGGCTCGGAGCACCTGGCCTCGTCATCCTGTTTTTATTTCCTGTCCCCGTTCCGGATTTTAATAGTGTTTGTCTCGGATTGGATCTCCCAGCTACCTGGACTTTTGATTGCGCCCTGTTTTTCCCTTCTGGATTCCCACTGGACTTGTTTGTCTGCGCCACGCGCCCTGAGCACCAGATCACAGCCGTCACGCTCCCGTCTGTCTTCCTGTCCTGCTCCTGCTGTGTTTCCCTAGAAGTCTTTTTCCAGTCACTTCCGGATTATACCATCTGCACAGGGTCCTTAACTACGCATTGTGACAGTATTACCTCTATTTAGTACCATTGTTGGCAATGTTGTATTAATACTGAGAGAAAAATCCTTACTTTTGCAGAGATAAAAAATGTATGAAAGGTTACATCTATTTTTATAGTTAACATATTCTGAGAGAAGTAAATATGAATTTTACAGCACTGAAAATGCAGAATCAATGGGTTGGGGAGTATAATTTCATAATCTTAAAAAGTGAGAAATTCTATTATGAATCTAGAAAAAAATGACTAACCAAAATGTCAAACATTTTCAGGGATTTTCTTGTAAGTGCTTTGATTATAGCAGCGATGATCATGATGGTGATAGAAGAAATGTAATTTGTACATCAATTTCATTTCATTCTCACCTTCATCTCTTCACTTATTAAAGAGTGCCAGTCAGATGATATGTTTAAGTTTTACACCAAGATAATCAATGTCACAAGGAGTAAACAATGTTGAAAAGAAAAGAACACAAGTTAAAGATGTTCATCTTGAGGGAAGGAACAGAGAGATAAAGATGAAGCAGAATATATAATGAACAATGATCTCAAATTTAGAGACAAGAATGACAACCCTTGTGTCGAATGACAAAAGCATAAGACTGAAAGAACAAAAACATGAAATTAAAGAGAAAATTCTGGGAGTGAAGAGGAACACTGAAGAAAATTAACACTACAGAATATCCAGGTTGGAATATTTAAAATACAGGGAAATGGCAAAAACATAAAAATAAAATAATAAAATTGCTAGTGGTCACACCTTGTGGTGCATCTTGTCCCAAATGAAAATGAGATGTGAAGATGTGTGGGAGGCAGGAAACTCACATCTAGCAATCTCTGGGAGAATTGAAATACGTGTGGGACAGCAGCTAGACAAAACCATCCATCAGCTTCTCATTTTTCAAGAGTGCCTTATTGTGGCAAACGTTGTAGAATTGCTAAACAAACACTGGTTCATAAATGTTCTGTATCTGTCTAATTAAACATGCTTTTCAAAAGCTTGTTGTACTAATTGAGGAATAAAGTGAAGTTATAACATGAAGTTCATAACATGAAGAAAAAATGTTTAGATTTTCTACTGTTCTATGAAGTTTAGAAAATAGCATTTCCTCCTCTGTAATGGCATCTCACATGTCCTGTGCAGTTCATTCTACTGACAGAAGTACAATAGGAGTTCACAAGAACTGATTAATCATTTATAAAGCCTTCATAAGACACAGTATATTGATCAGTTGATCAAAACGATCTCAGAGAAAACATTGTCCAGGCTGAGAAACTGAAAGATGTTAAATTCAGATACATAAAGACAAAAAAACAGACCACTTAACTGAACTTCTCAAATCTGTTTTGAAAGGTATAGGGAAAGAATCTGACTCTAAAGCTGATATAAAAAGAAACAGATGTAAAGTCTCCAGAAAAGCTTTACATTGAAACAATAAACAATAAAGTGCCACTACTGCAAACCATATTATATATATATAATACATCATATTAAAACAAAGCAAATGTGCAATCTAAAGACAATTATTTTAGTGTGCCTTCTGAATGGGAATACTAAAATAACCTATTTTTGATTCTAGTTTTAAACTTTTATACACTGTATGTGCTCCTCTACACAGCTATTGAATAAAAACATTTTGAAATGTCTAACAGCAGTTATTTTTAAACCATACTGTATCTGTAAATAATACAGTATATTCAGGTGAAATTGTGAAATAATTAACCTATCAAAAATAATAATTTTAAACAACTTATTTCCATTATCATCAGCACATGATGATAATGGAAATATCTATTCCATTAGAATACGATTCTGAATGTACTACGATGCTGAATGTACATACAGTGATAAGAAAGTGAAGAGATTAACTTAGTGCTAAAAGGTTAATGTTAGTAACTTTAAAGAAATAAAGATTATTTTTAAAGAACAGTTGCTCTAAATCACGCCACCGGATTGTAACAAGACATTCCCTGGTCAGTTCCTATTCTGTGATTCCATTAGAGTGTTAGATTTAAATGCAGAATTAACTGTTGCCTACGCAGAATTATGTTAAACATGACCTAGACTGGAAATCAATATTCCGCTTAAGTAACTGGCCCTCCAGTAATTTAATGAAGCTAAATTGCATTACATGGAGGTAAGGTGGTGCGGGACCATTTTGTCTCAAACCTTCCATTACACAGTGGCAGTACAGTGCTGAGTGGTAAGAGAAACTTAGCACATTCAGATCATTGGAGGGCAGTTGCTTTCCTTTTTCATACTCAACTACCCGTTTACTTATGATATGAAATGCAGTCTATAAATAACAAAAACAACAAATATCCTTTGGGCACATTTAACAATGAGGGAATCTGCAAATGGATTTTCATTATTTAGCGTAATCATAAAAAATTCAAAGAGCAAAGTTTTCTAAAAGAAAAATCCTCATGAGTATTTTTTTCCCCCAAAAATAAACATAAACAGAAAAAAAAATTCTTTTTGAAAACTATTCTTTTGTCAACAATTCAAAGAGAAGTTTCAAAGTGAGGTGCAGTGTAAGTAGCTAAAGTATATGCCACCTCAAAGCCAGTGCAAAGCTGGTGACTAAGAGTAAAAGATTCATTTAAGGAAGAATACATGTGCAATCACATTCTTTGCTATCATAAAATTCAGATGACAAATCTGTTTGGCTGAACAGTAGGTGTTTTTTAATATCTATTCATATACGGATTTACTGTATATTGTCTGTAGTTTTCTTTAATTTATGAAAGAGATCTGTAACTGTGAACATTTCATTGAATCATAAAATGGAATGATTTTGTAGCCATTTCTCCATGAACATTACCAAAAACAGATTATATGAACTTTTTACTGACGACGAAAGAAACAATCACAATTTAACTACTAACGTTGTAACAGGAGAACCTAGCTTCGCATGAACACTATGAATTATAATGTTGAATAATAGCAAGTGAAAATAAAAATAATCAATGAAATTTAAAAGATACAGTCACACTCACTGTACAATTTAGGTATAATCTATGTGTTTACAGAGTGGTTTTCATGAATCAAAGTACTGTATATCTCAGCTGGCTCTTTTCTAGAAATCATGGGATTTTGGTGGCACGGCAGGTAATGCACCTTTGGCCTCCAGGCCTGAGGGCTGCAGGCTGATCTGTTGCTTGAAGGATTACCTGTGTAGACACCTTCCAGCACCTCCTCACAGTGCCCTCTACATGCGTCTGTGTTGGGAACCTTGGGTGTGTGCTGCTCTAAAAGAAGACCATCTGCCTTCTTATCGATGACACATTTGACCCGAGGCTCTTGTCAAGAAAGAGCAGGGGTATTTACCCTGGTGCCCTTACAAAACTCTCCCATGATACACCCCTGCCACCAGCGCCTGGGGCTGGGAGGCTTTCGAGCACAGCGCTCACTCATCCTGCTTGGTAGGGCCAGGGTATTACACTGACAATGTCCTTGCCTAGAAACAAAAAGGCTGTCTACATCACAAAACAAGAGCAAAACCCACTGTCATGATAATTGCTATGGGAGCACTTGGGAGGATAATACTACAGGCTACACACTCTTATTATAACTCAGCATTTTCTTCATGGTTAAGATTTTAAATAAGCATGTTAGCACCTAATGTTTTTATTAGGTGTTTACAAAACTGATCCATTGATCTGCACAAGAAAAAGGGTTACATATAGTATATACTACTAGACATATGCTACTGTATATAATCTATATGCATATACAGTATACTATGTACCATAAAGTATATGGTGTTTGAAAATAAGCATTTAATCATTTGCATTCTGGGCTCCACCCAAGGACCAACAAGGCTGTACTGCTATACTGTTTTAGTGTTTTGCCTTTCTTTAACCTTGTACAAGTTGTCTTTTCCTTGAGATATGTTGTCATCAATGGAAAAAAAAAGCTTTAGTGTTTGTGAGAGTGTTCCTTGTAATTCAAACCAGAAACGGCTGCATCACTATACTTTTTTTTTCCTGTGTACAAGAAATACAGTTACTGTTACAACTTGAGATAGTATTTGGAGCTAACAGGTTCTGTTCCTGTTACTTCACTTCTTGAGAAAATCATAATATGTACTGTATGACACAGGCAAATTAAATATTGTGTACGACTTTAACTAATGTCATACTACCACAAGAGAAACAGTTGGCACAAGGTGAGAAATGCTAATGTATGCTTTTCCTTTCTGAGAAGCAACTGAATGACATGGTTAAATGTTTCACTGTGTGCATTTATATAGCAGATGAAGTTTTTGAATAAATCAGTCATATAGTGGCTGATTATAGAGCCATAAAGTGTATCACATTTATTGGAAAATTATAAAGCAGGTCTTTTATTGAAACTTTGGCCACAGGGTTTTCCAGGTGTAACTTGTTTTATTATTTTGGGAAGTTTCTGTAGTAACAATTTCTTATTTTAAAATGTATCTTTTTGTCACTCAAAGCATCAAATGAATCAAGCAATTTACGTGGGGTGCTGTACTGACCTAATTTACTGTTATACAGTATGTCTCTGTTTTTGCAATATAATAGACTTTTACCTGCTGTTTTGTGGCCTCCACCCTTTTCATGACCTGATGAAAATTTGATGCTGACAAGCTCCAATGGCTTAGCTAAAATCTAGTTGGTATCCTGCAATAAAAAATACAGTTGTCATAATTCAGGTTTATGAAGTGCTTTACCTAAATGCTCTGCAGAAGTCTAATCCTTCCATTTGGACTGTAACTCTACATGTCTGGAGTGGTTGCACTAACATGTATACAAATATATGCTAATTTTTACAACAGCTTGTAGAACACATTTCACCATTTGGCCATACTAAAGCTTATTGAGAAAGAAAAACTAAAACAAAACCCTAGTTTGGCATGAACACAAGTCATAATTGATCTCCATTATAACAAGACATTTTCTCAGTAGGATTTTCAATGACTTACAAGTCAGGAACCAAAACCAAGTACGAAAGCTTATACTTTGAAAAAATAAAATATGAAGAACAACAGAATTGTGTTCCATTTTGCTTTACATTTCATACAGTATGTCTGATTACTTAGCAAGGCTAATGAAGGAGAGCTGTCTTCAGAAATTGCAAGGTTAAAGTGTGACAGTAATAGACAATACCCTTAATAACTCTTTTGTTCTTCTAAATTAGCAGTGGATGTACAGTATCTACAGTTATTGAAATTTCAGCCAGCTTTATGGTTCAGCTTGGTTTGACTTAACCTTCTGCTAAAGATTTTCATGGATTTTTATCCTGTCTTGCACTAGACTCCTCAGTAAAGGCTTAAGAGCAGACAGGACACTTTTGCTATTAAAAAGATTAGCACATAATACCCCAAATGTACAAATGTTTCATGTGAAAACTAAATCTTGAAAGACAATTTTCAATAAAAAAGCATTAAAAGTATCATGTACAATGTAACTAAAGGTAGTGAACACGTTTCCTCTTTTTTTTTTCAGTTTCTCCCTAACAGAAGATTAATGCTTTAAAGCACAGTGCAACACATTTGTTAAATAATTTTTTTCAGGTTTGTTGAATTGCCAGTTTTGGTCAAGGAGCCTGATTTTCCTCTTCATACCTATAGTCATGGGAGGAAAAATCATCTGTTATCGATATGCTTGAGTGTTAGATGCAGCCGGAACCCATAAATGAGGAGATTGCATGAACTGAGCCCTTTACACATAGTTGCGGTGTTTTGAGTTCATACTGTACAGTGATTAGGATCATAAACTCTCACATCATCTGTCATTATGGGCTGCATGTACACCTGTGTAAGCAGTACTAATAAAATCTAAGATTGAATTTTCTAATAGTTTTTTTTCAGTTATTTTGATTAAAAGAGAGGCTCTAGTGCCTATTAATAAAGCATTTATTATGACATTGTTCCTTTGAAGATAATAAAAATAAAGTTGTAAGCATCAGACATAGTTTAGGTGCCAAAGTAAGGGTCTTTAACAGTATTTCTGTTTTGACCTTGGAGACTATTTTCTCTTTTATAAAACATGACAGAAAATGACATTTGAATCAGACACTTAATCTAACAGAAAATGATAAGGAAAATGAATATAAGCCTTTGTTCAGAATTTCATTAATTTAGAGTCTTTGAAAGAGACTACAGTGTCATAGACTAATGGAAATAAACCTTCAATCAAAACCACTGGGCTGAAACTGTAAATTTAACCATTGAACATTGTTATAGAAAAAGGTCTATTCTGCATGTGATTTTGTGTGTGAAGGATCATGTGACACACTAACAGAAGTGCAAAAAGACCTTAGACGAACAAGCTTTATGACAAGGACACATTTTATGGTGGCAGTTGCCTCCTTTAGCATTAATTGTCTACCTGTGTAAAGGAAGCAGCAGCCTTCATTCAGACAGACATTCTGGGGGAGTCCCCATTGAGGATTGCATAATTTGGCCAAGGTGCTCATTTCATCCCCTTCTGCAAACCCTGCCAGATGCCAGGAGTTGTGCACAGCTGCCAGAGGGCTGCGCACAAGGTTAGCAGGGTAGGTGGGATAGGAAGTGGCTCCCAGGAGTAAACGAGAGGGGAAAAAAGGAGGGAGTTAAAGATGACTGTGTAATATCTGCCAAGGGCCTAGGAGCATTTGCGAATGCAATCCCTATTACTGCCTGTAAAAGATGCAAATTTGGTGAAATAATCAGCTGTATGGCCTGGGGCTGTTTTTCAAGTACCCTGATTCTCAGTGGTAGGGACGGTATTAGTGTAAGAAACACAGAAAGGCAAAGTTCACGTTGCTCAGAGGAAGCCCCTAACCAAACTTCGCCAATTGCTGCAAAGGAAGATTTCTCGCTTGAAAGCCCTCACTGCTCAGCCACTGAAACAAAACAAAACAAAAAAAAGAGAGTGACTGAGAGAGAGACAGAGGGAGAGAGAAAGAGACCCTTAAGGCAGGTTGCAGAGATGCAGGAAGCAATAAAGAGACATGCATACATGAAAAGAGATGGGTTTTAACCATTTGAAAAGGGTGCTACTGTGTTTTAAATGGTTGTTCTTTTTATTGCACCTTACAAATTGAATATATTATCCACTCAGTTCCAAATTATTTTTTAGTAGGTATTATTACCTGGGAAACAATTTTAAAATATTAAAGATTCTTCATGAATTTCAAAGCTGATGATGATAACAATGAAAGCTTCAGATGTGCCACCACAGTATGTGGAAATGCCAGAGAAACATGAATGTGCCAATGATCCATGCTAATTTAAACATTAGCTAATGATTATTTAAGTGGAAATTTGATATTCATGGTGCTGCCCAAGCAAAGCATTGTGTCCTGTACCCATAGATTCATTTGTGTATAGATATCCTGATATCTATGTGTCAGATCAGTATGTCTGAAAGGAACTGATGTATTAACTGAAGGGCCTGCTGTACACCATTTTTTTCCTTGTCCACTATTACATTTAAAAATCCTGTATTTACATATACAGGAATGGCAAACTGTCTGATGTGACAATAACAGTATGAACGGAGAATAACTATCCTGCTATTTTTAATGTCCACCGTCCAAATCTGTAGACCTTGAGAGATATGATTAAGTAATCAGAGTACAGTATGGCAGCCTGTGTGGGAATTACAGGGGAAATGAGAAAAGAAATGTGATAAACATACCCTTGCATTTTAGAAGCACAGTAAATAATAGGTATGATACTGTATTAGTAAGACCTCATAATCACATTTCTCTAACTGAACAACTGCTAGGGCCAGGAATATTAAATACAATAATGAACAGTTTTTAACCAGCAATCTAAAAAATATTTTGACAATGAATACAGCTGTGGCAATTTACTTACCTTATGCTCATGTAGCAGAGCTAGTTCTGCGCAGTTAAGATTTACTCTCTACAGCATTTCTTGAAAAAAAAAAACATGTATTTAAATTAGAGGCTAAACTGCTAACTTAATAAACAGATTTCATCCTAAGTGTCAGACAGAAACACAACTTTATTTTGTACAGCTTTCAAAATGTACAGTAAGACTATCATAAAAGTTCATTAATGTCACCAGTAATGTGAATTACTCCTTTGAACACAACGTAGTTGTTATTCAATTTTTACTTTTCAATTGGTTCTTCAACAACCCCATTTCAGTAGTGTTGTTTAAAATTTTACTTTCTGTAGTTTTAATCAGTACCATAGTTGACAAGGTCAACAGCATCAGAAATATGGTACTGTATATTATAACTTATATTCTGTTATAAAGACAACATATTGTTGATGTTATTTCTACACAGTTTTTATCTAAAGTATTAAAATAAGTTTTGAAACCAAAACAAAAGTAGAAATTTAGAATCTGTGCTTTTTACAAAGTAACATGTATAGCCTACATTCAGAATCAATGCTACAACTTGCTTTCAGCATCTTTTACTCTAATGTTCAAAGCACCAGTTTAGTGTCTTAAACTTAAATCAGTCCAAAGGTCATTTTTATAGCTTGATAATTTAATTAATTTTATCCTTTTGACTAATACATTTGTAATTTCAAAAACAACAAAATTATGTTTAAAATGTTATTACTACAAAAAGTCATTATACTTAAAGTAAAACAAATTGATTAATTCCACTACAGTTAAATAATAATTTTGATTGACTGTATAAAAAGAACATCTATGACTAACAGGGTGTACGACTATAATATATTTTTAGAATTATTTGCTATCTGTACATACAATATAAGCATACTGTACATTTAAATGAAAGTATGTTTCATTAGATGCCATTTACTAACTGGAAAACAAGATGAAATAACATTGGTAATGTGATCAGCACAAACAATTCTTTCACACAACACATTTTACTACAATAAATAAATTATTTGTAGTTAGTTACTGAATTTTTTAAAAGTATATATTGAAAACTAACTATAATATATTGTTTTTATGTTACAGATTTTTTTGACTCTGTGATTTCAGTTTCATATACTGTAGTCTCTACAGTATTATAATACCCATGCTGCTTAAACTGCTCAGAGATCTAAAATATTAACTGAGAGAGTCTCTAAACTATGCTTTTAAAAACTGGAAGTAACACAGTGTATTTAAATGCATAAATGATTTGCTCACAAACTTATAAATGTTCATGGATAACCTTTTATATATGAACATTTTAAAAAGATATTTACTGTTCTACAAGGAAGTTTATCATTTGACACCATCGAGATAAGTTTTTCTGCCACTTTCAAAGTAAAATAATTTGCAACAATTTGGATGTCTCAAAATTCATCTATATTATAAAATAAAAAGCATTCATGTAAGCATGATATACAATCTAATTTAAATCAACTAAGATCTGTTTAAAATGAAGTCATAATTATGATTTGAAAGAAAGCACAGTGATTCTGTGGTGTTAATATTCTCCATACCCTAGGCTTTGTTGTTGTTGTTGTTAATAAAGGTCACATCTGTGATGTATGATGGCAATTAATTTATTGCTGTTGTGTTCTTCATTTCTTGAACTTCGCTTCATGTCAATATCTAAAGATGTGAGAGTGTCAGTTTTCTCACATATTAGAAATGCTGTTAGTTTTTGATTCAGTCCTAAACAGATTAATTATTCACCTTGAAAATAACAGTGTAGTGTTTTAGACAATTTCTATCCAACACATGCCATGGAAAAAAATAACTTTTTGCTCTTTTCTTAACAAAGCCCTCTAGAATCTGCCTATCAGCTAATTCTAAAAAAGAAAAAAAGAAATACACACTTATTAAGAAAACCTGTAACTATATTTTTTAAAACAGATAAAGTACAGAAAACATTCCATACTTGCTTATTTTGTTCATGTAGCCATTTATGTAGTTTTTTATTACTGTAGGTTTGGTTGCAGGGTTATCTGATAATTATGTGATATTCTTTTAATATTTTATTTTTAACTACCTAATTGTGTTTTTAAGCTTCAGTTCCTGTAATTTTGCAAGACGAGGTGTTCCAGTGAGAAAACATATGGTGAGGGATTTTAAACCTCATAGCTGAAGTGCATCATAGACATATCCACTGCGCGAGTGTCACAAGTACCCACCACTGAATATATTCAGTCACCCATTAAAAAAGGGAAGGAAAGGATAAGAAAAAAATATCAGAAGCTATACTGTTATAGCTGTAAAGTAGTTACAGGTTCAAATAATGGCACAGGGGTACTCTAGTAAGCCGTGATCTGTAGGGACACAATGATCTAAGATTGCTTTTCCCAATGAACTATTCAAAATGTCATTTTCAGGGGAAGAAGAATGGGGACAGGCTGAAATAATATACAAGCACCGGGTACACAGGTGGTTACACGATTACACGTTTCACATGGTCAGATAGATGGACAAACTAGTACAGGCTAAGCTTTGAAGGGTTCTAGTTAGAGTGCTCCAATTAAACTTCTAATGTTCAATTGAAAACTGCATAAAAATTAGATGTCACAGACAAGTGGACAGGTGAATACATACTGTAAACACAGAGACTAATGCTGATGAAGTATTTTAACTTGTAAGTTTTAGATAAGGTTGTCTGATGACCTTTTGGCTAAGGTGAGGAAAAACTGAAAAAGTGAAAATATGAGATTTAATAACTATATAAAATGGTTTATTGACAGAAAAGAATATGCTGGATGTCTTATGATTTAGTGTTGCATGGGGGTCTTATTGTGTCACAAAGTGTCATATAGCTGTACATATAAAACAGTATCAATAGGAATAATATAAACTAGCGTGCACTAGGTAGTACTCTAGAGATTTTGCATTTCAGTGCATGTCACAAGTCACAGTTGTCTAGATATTGTTTAAAAATGGAGAGGGGCAGACAGACCTTTTAAGAGATAATCTTTTTCAGTATTCTTTTTTAGCTTTAAGTTTACCTTGGACACTTATACTTATTTTTAGTTAAGAATGTTCTAAATCTTGTCATTAAAATGAAAGTTTTAAGAATTTTTTTTTTTTGAGATTTAGAACCTCTAAACAAGCACTGCAATCCTTTAGGGACTGTGCATATTTCTGTGGAAACCTCTCTATATACAATACATTTTCAGTATTCTTACCAATAATCATGAGGCACTGTGTTACAAACAGATACTGAGGTAAAAGAACAGCTTCTCATGTTTCTTTTTACTAGGTAGTTCCAGGTAAAATGACTGCAATGAATATACCATAATGGTTTTTCACTTTATTTGCAGTCCCGCATTTAGTGCAAACTCTCTAATTCTTTCAGTAAATAACAAGTCCTTGATCTTGAGCAATAACCTTGTCTTAATACAATTATTATATGGAGTATTTAGTTTTAGCACAGAAATAATTTTATATAGAACCTTCTTTTTGAGCATATATTGTGACGAATTTTTAAATGCGTATAAATTTAAGGCATACATTACAACAATAAAGTTAACTACACACAATACAGTAAGTATCTTATCACGATAGTTTATTTTATAGTATATACATGATCAAATGTCGTTTTCAGTGTACTGTATCTCTGCACTGAAATGCACTGAATATACTGCATATTATGGAAATAAGCCAGTTTCTTCGCGGCAATCTTAAAATGGTGAGAAAGTACTGTACATTTTAAGCAAGTATCATAAACAGGATAAACTTTATCATTTAAAATTGTAATACTTTTCCAGAATATGACAGGGCGTCTTTGTTACAATACATTATTATATTTAATAATAAAATATTATGTTTTGTTGTTGTTAAAGTCTTTGACCACAGTACCTTTTCGTCGCTGTCAGACCTTTTGGTCTTTTATTAACCGCTGGTTAAGATCAAGTGTTTCTAATGTCGCCGCACCAACTTAGCTTTCAATTTATTACGTCTTATGGAGTGATGCCTTCTTTAACTGAACAATACACGTACTACAAGCTACTACAACACTTTTGTGGAGCGTTTAGTGTTTCACTAGGCCTATGTTTATTTCGGCTAAATCTTCACCTGCCACACGGACAAAAGCAAGTTCACGCAAGGGCAAACCATGCACAGAACGGACCGCTGTTCATACGGATCACACAGCTAATCCAGAAAACCCATCGCGAAAAGTAAACGGGTTAAAGCTATATTCTTATTAGCACTGTGTCCCACATTGGGTTTATCTACAGTAAATCTATATACAGTACTGTGCAATACAAAAGAGGACATTAATACGACTGAGCACTGTCCATTAGATATATTTCCTCAAGAAATGTGTTCTCAATATAAATACTGTATATAAACGTTATGCACACTAAGGCTTTCTAAAAAAGGCCAGTTATCGCTTAACAATAATCACTTGAATCGTTTTCAGAAACATTGGTGTTGTACAGTATTAATCGCGTGCACTCCCAAGCAACTGCATTTTCATTGACCCTCTCAAACTTTCTGAATATTTTATATTCCCAGAATGTTTCATTCTTGGACGCCCGAATCACATAAAACATGAAATTAACAATAATAATATACAACGATAATATAACCAGGGCTAACAATCATATACGCGGCTGTGTTACAGCAGTGCAAAAATGAGAGATCTCTTTACTGTGTCCTGCAGAGAGACAGGTTTCTGTTGTCACCGGGGTTGAAGTAATCCAGTATGAATACCACGGGGAGGAGCTGTGGCTCTGCT